TCGGAAAAAATTAAATTGGTTTGAGGAAACCGGGGGGCCAAGACCTTTTCCCCCCCATTGAATTTGGGGGGGGAAACCGGGGGGGGGGGGGGGGGCAGAAAAAGAACTCCCGAAGTCAGTCGCAATGACTTGTGCATCCCGATTCACAACGACCAGTTGTGTGTGACCATCGTTTGGCGCAAAGCGTGGACCCCACGTATATTGGTAACACAGAGGTGTTGATGTTGTCGCATAACCTTTGCACGGACTGATGAAGCTCGATTGCCCCTGCCGTGAAAGCGAGTTCTCTGCCGTGGTGCGCGATCGATTTTTTGTGACCGCGGAAGGCGTGCGCGTCAGCTGGACCAGAGTACGAACATTTTTAAGGTACAGTACTGAGCGGAGACCGGAACGGATTTATAATGTGAAGACGTGAAGAGAACAACAGTAACACGAGCTATTACTCATTTTTGTTGACCTCATTTCTGCTTCGCCGAGGGCGGCGATCGAATATGATGATCGCACCCATTGCTCCATAACGACGGTACGAAAGAAAGTACATAGATTCAACGAAGATTTGCTCCTCTACACCAGCTCGTTTGGGCGTTTTTCTCTGGGGGGGGGAGGCGGAAATTTCGCAAGATGAGTGAGGGGCCATCGTTTTCTTGGATATTCGATTTCTTGCAGCCAGGTGCATTCTTCGCAACCAATTCATCCTGCTGGTAAGTAAATTTTCCTGCGAGAGACTCAAAAACGCCGACGTACCAGAAAGATAACGCGACGGTTGAATCGGCTGCAATTCTTGCCCAACCGGTCCTACACAGGCCCAACAGCCGTGCGCAGTTTCCATTTCAGAGCAGGCACGAAGCACCTTTTATCACAAACCAGCACTTATGTACAAACATCCACAACACTTTCCCACTCGTTCCCTGCCTTCCAAATGAAGTGCACACGCGCACCACAATAAAAACACCCAAAACACGCCCTCCTCGAAAATGCGAGGAGGCATGTCCACCTGAACACGACGACGGCAGCACAACACGCCACCCCACGACAAACCAACCTGAAGGCCACACCGAAAAAAAAAAAGAGACAGAAAAAAAAAACACGTCCGGATCATGGCGTCGAGAACCATTTTTCGTTGTTTTCAATCTCACTGAGACTGACGTCTTTTCATTGGCTAGCCGGTTAGCGCGGTCGATGCTAATAATAAAAACACAAACGCGCACGCGCTATCTAACTAGGCCGATGGGTAGCGGTGCCCGCCCCCCAGCTGCCCGAAAGCGCCCGCCGCAGCCGTGCCCCCGCTGCCCGCCGCCGCCCGGGGATAGAACGCGCGCTCGACGGCAAGCCTTGCGCTAGACCCACTCCTGCTCGAGATGGCCGGCCGGCCTCCTGGGGGGCCCGCGCGTATGCGCTCGAACCGCCTGCGGGTTGTTGTTGGCGAAGCGAGGTGTAACGAAAATGAATTAGAGCGATGCGCATGTATCATGCTAGAAGGTTGGGTTTGTCTTTCTTGTTGTTTAACGTGTTTTCAGTTTGGGAACGCAATATTGGATGGAGGTTTTTTGGGTTGGGGCGGAAAGCGTGTGGATTCGGACAACGAGGAAAGGATTTTCCGGAACGCTTTGTAGACACTCTTGCCTCTGCGATTTGATAAGTACAGAGAACAACCGGTCCACGAATACGGCGGTCTGGACACGGAGGTCGCTCTATAGGCGGGTGAAATTGGCTGGCACACTGTAGACGGAATAATTAGGTTATTCTACACATTGAATGAGGCGATTGCCCTACAATAAGGCAGTCGCTATCAGCTACACCACCACCGCCATTAAAAAGAGGATCCCAACCACAGGCGGGCGGAATTGGCTGGCACACTGTAGACGGAACAATCAGGTTATTCTACACATTGAATAAGGCGATTGCCCTACAATAAGGCAGTCGCTATCAGCTACACCACCACCCCCTTTAAAAAGAGGCCTGCAACCGTGTGGGTTTAATTAATAGTCTTCCCCTTGTCTCACCACCGGGGGTTGACGACGTGTCTTCCCGCGAGGCAAAGTTACAAGTCATTGCATCCTGGAAATATCAACCACAAAAAAACGGCCCGCACTTGAACCCGGCACCCCTACGCCCACTCAAAAACACATCAACCGGCCCATTTTGTCACCTGCCGATGTTGTCGGCGTCGCGGCGGAAACCTTCCGTCTCGAGAGAGAACCTGCGGCGAAGCGCGGCGTGTTTACCCTTCCACTCCTCGAGCAGGCTCTCCAGCCGAACGGCCCGCGCTTCGTACAGCTCCTCCGCCTCCGCCCGCTGTTCCCGCAGCATGCAAACCTCGTCCTTTCGAAGCTGGTGTATTTTGGGCAGCGCCGGGGGGGAGGGGGGATGGGGGGCTGTGATGTTCGGTCGCAGAAGGCATGGGAAAAATCATTCAAGGTGTTGTTTCTGCCGTTTTGTCATGTTTTCTTGGTCAACCTTCACCAGGACAAACAGACGGAGAATGAACTTGACCTCGACCCCTCTGAAGGCCACGGACACAGAACAGAGAGAAATAAAAAAGAATGGACGCAAGAAAAACAAGACGGGGAAACACAGAGGAAGACACGAACAGAGATATGTAATGGGAGGTCGATTGGATGACAGAAACTATCGAACGCAACGTCATACTCGGACAGGCCTCGCCACCGTGGCTTCCTGCGCCAAATAAAAAAAAAAACATGGTATACCCCCCGCCCGTACCTGAACTTGGCGGTGCAGCTCGCTCTCGACATCTTCACATGTCCCCTTGACCCTCTCCGTGATAGCCTGCACTTGGTAGGCCGTGTAGCTCCTGCACTTCCTCATCTGACAGGTGTCCGCGTGGAGAGGAAAGAGTGGCAGCAGGGGAATGCCCCGTCGGACGGCAAACAGGACGACAGCAAAGGCTTGGGCTGGTCTCATTTTGACACCAAGCGCGGGGCGGAAAAACAAGCACAGACGACACCTACAACAACGCAACTGCCTACGTCAATGAAAGGGGGCAACCTGAAGGCCCGACTTGTGCTTCTGCGCACTACGTAAAGCGCTTCGGGCACCCAAACAGAGTAGATTAGGTAAGCATCCAGCAAACGTTTGTCCCTGGACCGACAAAACTGGAGGCATTCCGAGAGCGACGACAGTGCAATAATCAATGGACACAACGCGGTACAAGCTAGACTAACAGCACCAAGACGATACTAGACACAACACGGTACAAGGTAGAGCAAACAGCGCCTAGACGACTTGGACACAACACGGTACAAGTTAGAGTCAATAACACCAAGACAATGTTGGACACAACACGCTGCAAGTTAGAGTCAATAACACCAAGACAATGTTGGACACAACAAGGTACAAGCTAGAGTCAATAACACCAAGACAATGTTGGACACAACACGGTACAAGTTAGAGTCAATAACACCAAGACAATGTTGGACACAACACGGTACAAGTTAGAGTCAATAACACCAAGACAATGTTGGACACAACAAGGTACAAGTTAGAGTCAATAACACCAAGACAATGTTGGACACAACAAGGTACAAGTTAGAGTCAATAACACCAAGACAATGTTGGACACAACAAGGTACAAGTTAGAGTCAATAACACCAAGACAATGTTGGACACAACAAGGTACAAGTTAGAGTCAATAACACCAAGACAATGTTGGACACAACAAGGTACAAGTTAGAGTCAATAACACCAAGACAATATTGGACACAACACGCTGCAAGTTAGAGTTGACAAACACCAAACAGAAGATGTTGGACACAACAAGGTACAAGTACCTCTTCTTCATCGGCGGCCCTCCCCTTCTTGGCGTCTTCACGGGCCTCGGAGGCGACTCTCTGAGCCCGAAGCATGGCGTGCCGCAGTTCCTGCCGCCACGCAGATCAAGCAACCGACGGGGGAGGGCGGGGGGTGTACTCATATTGCATGCCTTAGTTGTTAGACTGTTGACCACGCGTCCTCGATGGAGGGGGGGGGGGGGGGGGTTCCCATGTTTTGCATGATTTATTTTGTTAAAACATAACCCCCCGTGGGGAGCAGGGGGGGGGGGATTTCCCCGGAAAAAAAAAAATGATGGGGTTGGCAGGGGGGCAACGGACCGGGTGGGAATACGAAAAAAGAATAGAAAAAACTTTCT